ACCAGGACTAGTCCAGTACCTCTATGCCAGTACCAGGACTAGTCCAGTACATCTATGCCAGTACCAGGACTAGTCCAGTACCTCTATGCCAGTACCAGAACTAGTCTAGTACCTCTATACCAGTACCAGGACTAGTCCAGTATTTTAATACCAGAACCAGGATTAGTCCAGTACCTCTATGCCAGTACCAGGACAAGTCCAGTACCTCTATACCAGTACCAGGACTAGTCCAGTACCTCTATGCCAGTACCAGGACTAGTCCAGTACCTCTATGCCAGTACCAGGACTAGTCCAGTACCTCTATACCAGTACCAGGACTAGTCTAGTACCTCTATGCCAGTACCAGGGCCAGTCTAGTACCTCTATGCCAGAACCAGGACTAGTCTAGTACCTCTATACCAGTACCAGGACTAGTCCAGTACCTCTATACCAGTACCAGGACTAGTCCAGTACCTCTACGCCAGTACCAGGACTAGTCCAGTACCTCTACGCCAGTACCAGGACTAGTCCAGTACCTCTACGCCAGTACCAGGACTAGTCTAGTACCTCTACGCCAGTACCAGGCATTCTATTTCCAGATCAAAAGCTCATCTTTTACATTTATTCAAAAGAAATTTTAAACAAGATACATGTTTTAAAAAGTTCTTATTATATCAAAATATACAGCAAAGGGGAAAGTAATCTAATTATACTCAGGAAATCAAAGCATACTTTGCCATAGATTTCTATGAGAGTGTGAACTGATTGGTTTACCCTCTGCTCATGACAAAACTATTACTAAAACTGTCATCATAATACTAATTTATAAATAGGAAAACCATTTTTTTTTTTACTACACAGATATGATGTCGGATAAAATCTGGTTGCCTTACAAATTTAGTCACTATGATAATTTTCCATACAGAAATTAGAACCAGACTAATGTTAAAATCAATGTAAAATCTGAATTTGTTTGCAATGCAACTTAGTACACAACAAACACATTTAAATTGGAAGTAATTTTATTAAACGTGGCTAACGGTAACTGAGGCTTAAAGGCCAGCTTATGTCAGGCATTCCAGTCACTAGATAATCTTTGTATATTAGGGTGAGTGCGACCTTTCAAAGACAAAATCTCCACAGTTTATCAGCACTGATGTAATACTCATAGTTGCCTGTGTACATTAAATTGTGAGTAAGGATACATTATTTTTTGCGACTGGCAGGGAAGAACAAACTTACAAAGGGAGAGAAGGATAAGAGAGGCGACTACTGTTTTTCTCATGGATTGCTACAAATATTTTATTTTATGTGGAATAGGTCTGTCCCTTTCAGTGATGCTAGATTCGATGTTTGTTCCTCAGAGACGAGAATCCGTCATTCCCTGTTAGACATTAATGCTTACTAAAACAAACAGAACAAGTTACAAAACCATTTCTACTCGGTAACTGTTTATTATTTCACATACAATTAATCTGTCAAAAGTCCTCTGTTTATTGATCTTTAATTAATTTAGCATAGATCACCATCAATGCTAAGTCATATAGTCATTTAAACTGTTAGTTCCATTATCAGTATTAGTTTTACACTTTTTGAAATTATAACAAGAACTATTATTTTGAACAATTTTAATACCACAATGGATTCAAGATGGTGGAACATACTTTGAGGCATGGCATTATGAACAGAAATACACCCGGAATTGAACAAAGAAAATTTTGATGTAAACCAGATGAGAAATAAATTGGTGAGTGGGGGTAGGTCACATTATAAAATGTGCTTTAAAAGTATTCATAAAAAATAATAAATTGCGAGATTTAGAGTATTATTAAGGAAACCTGGTATATTCATACCAGCCTTGCTGCTACAATGGACAGATCACTGGGTCCTAACTAACCCTTGTCAAATCGATCATAACAAAATTTGGAATAACATGACCTGTCTCGGACTGTAGTCCTGGCCTGGAGGGCTGTCAGGCTATCAAACCACACAGACATTTCCAAAACTTTATTTCATGACATGTGAAACCCTGCCATGGACCTTTGCTAAGTCGGCCAGAGCACATCTGCTGCTGGTTTTCTGGGTCATTAGTCTTTCCACTTAACATGTTTGCATTTTTCATGATTCACCTCACAATTAGGGATTATGAACCAAACTCGGTATATTACAAAATCTATTTTCAATGAGCAGATTAGGAAATAATTCCTATTAATAACCATCGTCAGCTGCATTTTTCATATTGTAAAGATTATGCTAAGAGATTCTCTGATAGGCTTTTTTTTTATTTCTTACGATAATTCTATTTGAACAAAGTACACAGCCGTTTCCTGTGAATTACAACATATATTTGTGTAAATAGCTTCTAGCCTGCAACTGCAAAATATTCTAGCTTTTTGAATTGCAAAATATCTAAACCTGTATTTGCTAAATATTTGATAACTTTTACCTTCTAAGCATACTCTCTTTCAACTACTACTGTGAGTATTTTCTAGCTTTTCACTGCTAGGTTCTTTGCAGCTATGGGTACTGTGGAATACTTTATTTTCGCTGGAATTAATTTTCGCTGAAAAGGCTTTTTGAGCGTTTTGTATGGAATTTATTTTCACTGATTTTTGACGAGTTTAATGTTAAATATAGGGAAAAAAGTATATTCGCTGGATTTTATTTTCACGTAATCATCCCTTCAGCGAAAATAGCGAAAATAAATTCCAAGCGAAAATAAAGTATTCTACAGTAACTAGTAAGTAGTTTGTAGCTTGCTCAACTGCTGAGTACTGTAAAAGGATTAATTATTCACTGGGTTTTAATTTTGCTGACTGTAAAATGCGCTAAATTAAAACCCAGTGAATATGTAAAATTTAGCATAGAGCACATTATCTAAATGATAAAACCGTGAATTTAAAACCCACTGAATATGCCTGAAATGGTAAATCAGCAAAATTTAAACCTAGTGAAAATTAGTCATTTTACAGTGTTGTCTAAATTGCTGAATTACAAAAACAACATTATTCTCACTGACAGTAAAACCACTCAACTAGTCAATATTACATGTATGTCATACAGGGCAACAACTGTTGCTATAAATTGGAATGCAAAGAGATAATTGTTGGCTCTAACCTGAAGGGATATTGTTAAAACTCCAATTCAGCTCATGAATATTCATGAGACACCCTCATTTTGAGATGAAAGTCTACAAGATGAATTTTCAAGTGTTCCCCATCTTCTTATCGTTATAAAAAAACACTACTACTGCAAATGAGACATCAGTTAATAATCCCGGTACAATGTTGAACTTTCACCTCTCATAAATATTATGCCCCCAAGTTTGTTAACAAGTTGCAAAGAAATGACAATATTTGGGAATTAAAGCGGTCGTAAACGTGCATATGGCTTACAGATGTCTGGAGGAAAACCCGTCTAAGAATCTCATACAGAGTCATTCTTTTCAAATAATACTTAAAAAGAATGTTTATAAACACTGCACTCAATTTAGTTGAATGCCGTAGGCAAAGGAGAGGTCAAGACCCCTCTCCAGCTCATTTGGGCATTTTACTCTTTGACATTTTCTGAAGGTTGTTATTTTTTTTTTCAAATTGGCAAATTTTTTTGAGGGATTTGGAATGTTTATTCAGCCTTGTATTGTGATTATAGCCACTACTACAATTTGTTATTTTAATGAAAGTTAGAACAGATTAAAACCATTCCAATGATTTCATCAGAATTTTGATACTTTATATTAGGGGTCAACTAATCTAATTGATTGCTTCTAAAAACCAACGGGTTTCATAACATAATTTATTTTCCATATTTGTTCAAAAGTTTTGTCTGGAAAATTATGTCCATTTCGTCCAAAAATGTGTTTAGCAGGAATAAAGTTGAGAGTCAACACCCTCAATATTGTGAGTTGCATGTGTTCATTTTAATCTCTGTAATACATAAGACTTCAATATGAGGAAACAGTTTTTTGTCAAATAGAGTACCATAAAGTAAATTAAACTTTGTTTTGAAATTCTAGACAATGAAAGAACACCGCAATTAAAGTACAACAATGACTTCCAGCCCAGCCAGACTTTTTTACACCAATATTTTGAAGTAATTTTTCGCCAAGTAATATATGTATTTCTTTCTTTTATATATTCCTCAAATCAATGGAGCAAAGAGCACCAAATTACAGATCTGAAAGTCTCTTACTGATATGAAAGAAAGGAGCCAATTATTCCATGGAAATCCACTACTCATTGCGGTAAGGGTTCATTAGCATAAATTGGAACAAGAACAGTATACATGACTGAGAGTTTCTTTCACTCTTCATCTATGCCGAAAGTACTGCATGCACTATGATAAGCGCTCAAGCTACTTGTATTTATATCGCTGAATGAATAGTCAGCTGAGAGGATCAAAAATACAGCTTCCCTGACGCAAAGCGAACCTGCCAATTGCTACACTACGTGCTTATGTAAAAATCACAGATGCAAGCTTCTATATATAAGTGTAACTGCTTCCCGGAGAACTTTGTGATTCTATAGAATTTTTACATGACACACATTTGCGAGCATCAGTGTAATTATAAAATTCGCTGTATTTTGTGAGCAGACAGTAATTTATTCATAACAAAAGCAGTTCTCCAAATTTCTAGCTATCAATCCATTTGGTGGGGCCATGTACAAAACTGCAGACAAGTTTGTAGTCATTTGGCAGCACAAGAACAAGGGTGTTGTAAACCAACATTTAAAAGTGCCAGCCTTTATGGTTTATTATATAACCTTGGAGGAGGGTGGGAGGAGGTTGGGAGAAGGCAGGTTTATAAAGATAATTACTCACCTTTCCAAACCGTGTTGCGTAGGACCCTGTTAAGAGTGAATGGAATATGATGATAGTTTCATCTAAATCCCAGACAAATACTCTCTGAAAAAGAAAACAATATTTGTTAGTTTTGCTTCTTATGATACACTTCATCACACATTTTTTCCTCTAAATTTTGCATACCAGTAAAGTATGGTAGAATGAGGGAATGTTTGTTTTCTGTTTGAGAGTATGTTCTGTTTTGATTTAATCCGCATAACCATAAAATTGTTTTCATTTATCTAGGCAAAAAATAAAAAAAATTTCTCTTTAACACTCATGTGACAGATATGATACAATGAGGAGCCAGTTTATTTATGTGATTCCTTCCATTATTCCCATGCACAAAAATGACAGTCAGCCATCTTGAATCAGATTCTGAAACAGATGCATTGTGCAAATGAGTTACATGATGTATGTGTAAAATTGCTCAATTTTGATGAATTTTTAGCACTAAAATGGCTGCCATTCAGCCATCTTTAATTGGGTCAGGAAATTGCATGTGCATATGTATGATATGATGTGCAATGTGTGTGTAAAGTGTGTCTGAGATGCATGGGGGTAAAAAGTCCCTGTTTTTAGACTACAAATCCATTTTACTTTACTTCAAAGGAATCAATTATTTTCAAAAACAAAAAGACTGTACCTCTAAATCATTTTCCGGCGGGGGAGAAGGATTGTTCCGCCTTCCCCTCGCAGCAGGCCTTCGATTATTTCCACCTCGATTCCTCGACGCCCTCCCATTTTCTTCTGACTTGACGATAGTATCAGCTGGAATCGTGGCCATTTGAGGATCAACTGAGGAAAAAACCAACCGAATAAACAGTTAATAATAATAATAATAATAATAATACAAGCACATTATCCATTTTCTGAAGAGACTGGTCATGCATCTCCACAGACAACAATCTAAAACAAAATGTGATAAATAATTTTTCTTTAATGTAGATAATTACGAAAGCCCTAATAATTAACAAACGACTAATTTTAGCATCCTTACATTTATGACCTTTTCCAAAATGATGAAAATCAATTACGGAGACTTTAACATCCCGATTGGTAGCCGACTATGAGAGTTGAACCAAAATTGTTAGAAGACCACGAGAGTTGAACCCTAATTAGTAGCCGACCATGAGAATTGAACCTAAATCAGTAGCCGAGCATGAGAGTTGAACCCTAAAATCTCTCTGTTGCTAAGAATGTTACTATTTCAAAACCACATCATTTCACGCTAGGATTTTCATCAGTTCTTACCTTCATTTGGCAAAGGAGCGAGTTGATATGTTGTCGTTGTTGCCGGCAATACTGTTCCTGTATTATTGAGAGCGGTACTGTTACCTGGCATGTATGGACTGTATCCTTGTGAGCTGTAGTATTGGTAGCCAGGCTGGGTATAGGCTGTTCCATACGCTGTACCATAGTCCACACCCTAAAATGTACAAGCAAACTTAGACCTCAAACACAAAGAAATATCATAGTCTCTGTATTGTATAGCAACTGTCACGATTAGGAGATATTACTAAAAATAGAAACTGATGTAACCATATAATGCTGTTCAGCACATTAAACAGATAACATGCACAGACAGAAACAACAATTTCCACACTAACTGCTTTAATAATTCACAGTAACTTTTTAAGGAAGTCTATTATAAGCCTGAACAAAGCCAAAAAGTTATAAATATGCATGTCACTATTTCATTGTTACTTAAAGCGAGAGGGTTGTCACCTGCACACGCAGGTACATATACATATAGTGAAATTGAGTCCCAAGCGACGATAACAACACACGCTAAAAAAAGATCACGGGTATACGCTTGTTTGTAAACAATGACACGCTACGGCCATCTGACGCATGCGCAGGTGACGACTCCCCCGCTTTAATAAGTCAAATGAAAAAAATGCTGATTAGCTGAATTGACATTTGAGGACACAAAAGAAGGAAGAATTGTGAAAGAGGCTTGCAAACTAGTAAGGCCAGGAAAATAAATTCTCTGTTTCTCGTTTCATGGAAATATTTAAATGAGGCGAGGTGATTTTTTTTTTTTTTTGAATACTGAGCTAAAATGGGGTGAATTTGAGACAAATGCGAGTACAAGCTCATTTTGGAAGGAAAAAAAAGTTTGAGGCGTACCAATATCAAAAGTGTTGAGTATTAAGGACATTAGAAAAAACAAAAATGCCTGCCAGTTTGCTATTTGAGATTTGAAAAGGTTGACGACGCGATACGTTTCATTTATTCCAAATTTCCATTATTGGACAACATTCGAACAGGAACTAAAAATCATTTGAAATTAATTTCAGACCAAACTGGGCATAAGTTATGAAAACACTGGGTCTGTGGAAAGTGACAAGACATGATGTTGACATTCAAGGGATTGAAAAACCAAAGTACGTGATTACAGTTACAGTTTACAATCAAGATAAATATAGTGACAGACATACGTTTGATTCACTCACCGATCCAACTTGCGGCGTTGTATTATACGAGTGCGCAGTGGGAGTACTTGAATTTGTTGCCGTGGGATAAGTGTATCCACTTGTTGTGTAACTACTGCCTGAAAGTGTGAGGAGGAAAGAAATTACAAACATACTGCAACATCTAAGAAGTCACAATCACCAGAGAACCAGAAATACACCAACAGTTACAGAAAGTTTTTAACACCCCTAATCCTACACCTCCTTTTTAAAAAATGAAACCTTCCAAAAAAGTCCCTCCTTTTATGGAATAATGGAATATTCCATTCTTTATAGGGGTGGACCGTTTTTGTTATGTGCAGAGGGATAGGAAAAGACATAGAAGAGTTTTACAAGTGACTACATGATGATCCATGATTCTGACCTTGCACTTGATACAGAGCATTTTGTCCACTTTGGGTATAGGACGGCAGATAATTACTTTGCCCTTGGTGTGTTAATGTGTTATTCTTTATTGCCATGGTGCCTCTACCTGGAAGAGCAATTAGTGATAATGAAGTCATGACGACCACCGACAGACAGTACAGTTCGTCATCTTGGATATTCGATGATTCAAAATGGCCCGGTTGCATACCTGCATTGTGATTGGTTGACTGACTAAATGGTGGATGGTGTAAGCATCATTGGCAACAACGGTAAGCTCTTATTGCAATTGGTTGTTAGATGGATGGACACCCTGACTTTAAAATTGTCCGATGTAGACAAAAATAAAAAGCTCAAATTATTAAAATCCATATCGAGGGCATAAAGTAGAAAAAAGTAGCGCCATAACAACTGTTAGTTAGTGTTTGGTCAGTGGTCGGCATGATTACGAGAAACCCTAAACAAAGTTAATTTTGTATGCAAGGTTTTTTTTCAAATGATCAGATATTTAATAACATCGGAAACAGGAAACAAGTAGGGAGGAAGAAGTATGGCATAGGTATGCATGTTGCTGTGGAGGCATCGCATTTATGATCGACTGATTCTAGCTCTACATTTTGTGCAGGTTACAACATTGTCATGTGAAAATACATAATATTTAGTGATGTCATACAAGAGTTTTGCATATTTTGATGTATTTTTCTATTATTTCATTGTTGATTAGCAAAAACTCCCACATAGGGCAGCAACTTCCATATTAGGGCAGCAACTTCCATATTAGGGCAGTGACTCCCATATATGGACAATGACTCCCATATTTGGGCAGTAACACCCATATTAGGGCAGTGACTCCCATATTTCGGCAGTGACTCCCATGTTTGGGCAATAACACCCATATTTGGGCAGTGACTCCCATATTTGGGCAGTGACTCCCATATTTGGGCAGCACACCCACACTTATACCATTCACTCATTGCTTCTAAAATAAAGCTATGTGTATGAGAACTATAAACATGCTTCATAAAAAGATACAAAATCTAGATGTACAAAAACAGTGAAAGTCAGCTAGATTAAGCTTATTATACCATGTTGTCAGAATAACTACTAGTTTAACATGGTATTCAAGTTACTGAAAATTAAATTAAATAACTGGTCTTGAATTTAATGAACATAAATTCAAAATTGCAGTTATTATATCATGGATCATACTTAATATACAAGTTATTTTGACCGAAGACATTTCTGTCTTTTACACAAGAGCATTTTCTACAAATAAAGCAAATGCATTCGTGTAAATATCTTCAATATGGAAGTGCTATGTACCAATGTGATGTTCAAATCTTCTCACTTTTGAAATATAAATCATTTTGGGCATGCCACACAATGATTGACAAATAATTATTGAAATTCATTCTTTTTATGACTGTGCATAAGTCAGTTTCAGATTTTTTTTACTGGACGTTTTTATCCCTGCCTGGACAAGATACTGCATGAATCACATTGCCGTATGATCGGTTGGAATCCGAAAAGATTTGTCAGCCATCACATCGCTTGCTCAGGAGTTTCACAAATGCATTTAATAACACAACTAGCTGGGAACAAGGATGAACAAGATGGTGGATTTGATGACTTACTGAGACAACTAGGTGGGAACAAGATGGTGGATGTAACAACAGGCAAAAAAATAAATAAAAAGGCTTTAGGCAGTGCGAACCGCTGCAGCGAGACCGGCGTAGGCGGTCAGGGCAACGAGTAGGCAGCCAATTTTGGATTGTAGCAGGCCATACGGCCGGCGGCCTGCTTTTAACGATACCCCTGCTGGCTGATGTCAGTTTCCCCCATTCATTTACATTGTAGCTGTCTGTGAAGGCTTTCAGCAGGAGACATTAAAATTTAAAATTCATGCCTCGCTGTTATGCAAACCTTGTGACCTTTAACTTATAAGTCATAAGCAAGTTTATCATCATTAAGAATCTAACTGTCATACTGACATCTACAGTGTCCACTGTTGTCATGGCGAAAAAAGAAATTGCTATGTGCGTTTTGTATGGATGGCAATACATTACAGTGTTTGTTAGCATCTAGAAACAATCTCCGCACAATACTTGTCCAGGCAGGATGCTCTTGGTCTGAATATTGAACATGTGATTTTCTGTTCACTGCGAGATCTTGCGTAATGCGTGAAAGGTGCAGATAGACCGAATGCCGTAAAAACAACATGATTTGATTTTAAACACCAATCTTTGAGGAAGTGAAACTTGACCATCATCCCCATCATATTAATAAGTGTGGATATACCTTTTATATGATGATGTTTTAATGCCACTACAACACTATTATCTTTGTTTGCCTGTTTTTATTTATCATTTCATGCACAAAGTAGGATCTCGTAGTGAACGGAAAATGACCTGATCCATACTCCACAAATCATTTTGATTGTGTGATTTTAGTAAGATCTTCAATTATGTCAATTACACTCCCTTATCTCCTCTTAGATACCAAGCCACAATTCTCTGACACAGATACAATCCAACCAACCAACCAACATAGTCTTCCATTTCCTCCAATTTAAAAAATCAACTTACCCGGTGCTCCATAGGGCCCTGGCTGTGTCAGCCCGTACGACGCTGCCTGTCCTGTTGTTTGCCCCGTTGCATAAGGATAAGTTGTTGTGTTGGCTGGCATGTATGCCGCCGTTCCCTGGTTCTGAGTTGTCTGGTAGTTCAGCGTATTACTACCTTGCGCCGACGGAGTCGGGATTATATGGGGGTAGGAATGGCTGGAAAATAAAAATATGAATAGATTAAGAATTTGAATAAGAATAGGCCACCAGTCAGCCATTTGAATTTAATTCTGAAAAAATATGTTGCCCATATGTGTGCCTTCATATACTGTACTTGTGCCTAGTTTCAAAGAAATCAGTATGAGTAATTCAAAGAATGGTGTTGAACCTGACACAGACATTGACAGGGAAGGAATGTTTATTTCCTTTTCCATCAGACTGTACAGCACTTTGCCCATAGTTACGTACACAGGTGAACACATGCAGAGTTTCCATAAAAAATGCCAATATGGGTAGCACATTGACCAGTCACAGTGGAACAGTAACACACCAAGCAGTAGAACATATCGAACATGGTGGAACACAAACATTTTCCCCCTCACATATCCTTCATCTTGCATTTGTCACAGATGAAGAACAAAAACCAATAGCACCAAAAGATGATAAACATTCACAAAGACTGTCGGAGTGTATGATATGAAAAGTTTTTGAAAAGCTTACCTCAGATACATTTCGTTCTCGATACAGTAAAAGTATAGAAAGACGATTTGAAACAGACTGACAGTAACCAACAGTCTGATCAGTTTTTGATCCTGCAAGAACACCTTGACTTATGACACTATTAAAGTCACATGACATATCACTACAATCTTTCAATTTGATTGGATGGTTCTTACCTTGGAAAATATTGTGACGAATATTCTGATTTGGAGTGTCTGGAGTAACTCATATCCTGTTGCGTGTTTTGACTGCCAGACCCTGAAAGGTGACGACATGAAGAAGTGATAACCCGAAAACCTAATATGTAGTTCACGAAAAAGTGACGACTATAAATTGGGTTTATCAGAGTCCAGCTACCGATAATTAGACATTTATGAACGTGGTTGTGTGTGAGAACTGTGTCAAATGTCTCCTATGACATCATCATGCAATAAGCCAATGACGTCGGCTTTGAACTGATGACAGTTGTACTAGAGGTAACAGGTGAGAGTGAGCAAAGGGTTTCTAAAGATAACAACACAGGCACTTGTAAGAAAAATGCATGATTTACCATCAAAAATTACATGTGGAAAAAAAAGAAGAAAATTTGAAATGATATTGTACAGTCTTGATAACAATGAATTTTTCTTAACAAACTGTAATAGCTAGAATAAATGGTACAATATTCATTTTCATCCTTTTGTCACCAGATACTTCCCCCCAAAGAAGTATAGTTGTGGCTACATTTTCTATAACTAGTCCAGACAGATAGAACACGACTTTGCTGAAAATTTTGGAGAGCCATAAAAATCATATTTTTACCAAAATGCTTTTCAGTAAAGATGCACGAATTTCAAATATTTCGTGAAAAACAATACAATTCTACAATATAAATGGTTCATTGTGATTAGAAACAAATTTTCTGGTCAGTATCATGTAGTTGGAGACACGTAAAGAAATGAACAAGAGATGCAATGACAGCAACAAACTTTTGATTGCCAAGGACGACTTTTGTTACCTTTCACAAAATAAACCAATAGAAAAATAAGTTCATTTGTACAAAATTACAAAAATGTTAAAGAAAAATACACAAAAATGGGCAAAATATTAAGAAGAAATAAGTTTATTTTTTTATTCCATGAGTTGTATATTATGAATGTCTATGCTACAAAATTCACAGCTATTAAAAGATATTATTTTGTATTGTTGGTGTTGGTAGTGACTGTATTAACCCCTGTTTATTTTCTTCCTTCAGAGATACCACTGTCATCAAATGTAATACATTTTGGACTTACTACATCACCCATTCTTTCAGAAAAGCTATCTTCCTCACATATAAAACTTTATGGTGATTCTAAAGTACCGGGATGATAGCTACCGTACTCGACCACGTTAGCGCCCAGGGTCCTCAACTCATAAAATCAGGATTTTTTTAGGGGTGGGTGCTTTGCTGAATGTGACCCCGAATATAAAAATTGCGCAAAAGTGGGGGTGGGCGCTTGACCGGGCATGGGCGCTAACGCGGTCGAGGACGCTATTAGGTTGGTATTAATTAACTTACCTGAATAAATCTCTATCGTGGTATTAGACCCACTGTAGTTAGTGTCAGTTGACACTGTATCATTCACTATTGGTTCTGTTTTTACTGTTGAAGAAGAGAAATAAAAAAAGGTTAGCTTTTAGGTTCAATCACTATTCATCAATACCAGACTGGATTCCAGAATACCAAGATGCTTCAACATCAAACACCACTGTACTGCAAATTATCTCCCCATGCACTTACAATCCCACATCATGATTGGCCCAAAACTAAAGAATTCATTAGCTTTTAAAAACAACAGATCAAAACATAAACAATACAGATTTGCTTAAAGTCATAGTTGCTATGGCAATGGGCAAGGGAAGAATGCCCTGTCACCACTTGTCCAACAAACAAAGTGGTCAGTCATTGTTTTTAATACGTAATTACAGATTACACATTCAATATGTTGTCATTTGTAAAGATTCCAATCTTTAATCTGTTTTTAAGGGCTTAGAATGTCACAGATGTCATACTGTCACTCTTTAGATAAATCACACAGCTGTATTATTTTTACATAAGTTCAGTGGATCATATGCATGACCCCAAAATGTCACACATTATGGTACTTCTGGGGGTACAAAAATCTACTTTTACAGACATTACTCACATTATTACTTTCCCCATCAAAAGACTATAAGGGCATAGCACTCTTAATCACTCGCATCGCTTGCTGTGTTCATGAGAGCCATTTTTTTTTTTAGCTCCAAGGCCATTTTTCAATCGACAAGCCCGACTATAATTGAGAATTTCTCGTTTCAACAATCTGACATTGCAGAAATTGAGGTATAATACTGGAAACTATTGCTATTATCGGCCATCAATACTCCTAGTAAGTACCAGGATGTGTGACCTTTAGATACCATGAATAAAGTACCAGGATGTGTGACCTTTAGGGGTCATGAATACAGTACCAGGATGTGTGACCTTTAGGGGTCATGAATAAAGTACCAGGATGTGTGACCTTTAGAAACCATGAATAAAGTACCAGGATGTGTGACCTTTAGAAACCATGAATAAGACATATTTGTCAAAGCTGATCCAGAAACCAGGGGTAGCAGTTTTGGTGGACATGGTCTCTTTCAACAAGTATTTATGGTAATTACTTAAAGGGACATTAGCTGTATTCTTGATAAATAAATAAAAAAAATTTGCTTATGTCTAGAAGTAGAAGATGTTTGCATATGCATTGCATGAACATTCTAGCATTTTATCCCCTGTATGAATCTATAGTAAAATGCAAACTAAAAATCTAGCATGTGATCTAAATGAGAAACTAAAGTTTCACTAAAATGATTTATAACTTATAGCGCCAAAGACATCGCATGGCACATATTAAAATTTGGTCCAAACACAGCTTTTTAGAAGGGTTGTCACATGGAATGGTTTCAGTGCTCATACAAACCTTAGTAACTGAATTTATTTAGGTCAATAGTGATACCATAGCAAATGTACTAGAAATTCAATATAAAGAGGCAAATTGCAGTTGCGTTTGTAAAACGATGATGCAGATTATGTTGCCATGGAATAATAATATCTCAACCCTTTCCTTGCATTAGTCTGGTTTAAAAGTTAAAACCTATTAAAAATTCATGAACAAATAAAATTGGGAGTAAATTTCACATTATTAATGGATCAAAAGCAAAAGACAAGGACATGCTGCAGCAAATTTACCACTTTGAGTAGGAAGATAAAAAATAGTTGAAAGCTTTATCTGACGGGCAATATTCAATGCCGCTGAATCGTTAACCTGCGGCTACTATTGTATACAATGCACCAAGATATTGTAGACATCCGGATAAGGTCCCAGAGGCATACTGCTTCGGCTTCCACATCTCTCTACCACAAAAAGAGCGATGCTTAATAAAAACCAGTGAACTTAGCGAAGATAATTGTAGCAGGACAGATTATGCAAATAAGAAATGGTTACATTTAAACGGGAGGTGGAAGGGTTGAAACTTCTTGGATGTTCTTTTGCAGGGAATGGTACATTTTGGGGTGAGGTGGGTGTGAGGTTGGTAGGAGGATTGGAACTTGATAGATGTTATATGCAGACATTGTTGATGAATGTAATTATAATATAAAGAAAGAAAGAATGAATTTGGCGGGGAGGGGGTTTAGAGATAGAACAGCTACATTCTACACACGAATAAGAACAGGTCAACAAAGATGCTGGCTTTTCTCTTCATTGGGACACTACATTCTTATATATTTTTCTAGAAGTTTTTTTGTTAATTTTGGTCAAAATACTTATAATTCTACTTTGCCTACATGTTTTAAAAAATTTTTTGGGAAAAAAAGAAAAATAATGTGGATTTAATTTTTTGAACAGTGACAAACATGGACTATGGCACTCATACATTAAACTTACTTGAAGCAGTGGTCTGTACTGAGGCCCAGGCGTCAGGATTGCTAAGTATTGAATTATCTTCGGAGGTTGACATAGGACCCCTGTTACCTAGGTAACCAGAAAGTGAAGATTTTTTGAGCTATTGATATTAAGACGCCAATTCCAATCAATCAGGGAATTTTTAATAAAACAAGATATCAGAACCATCCAATCACCAGAAATATGCAAATGAGAAATGCTAATTTTTGGGCAATCTAATCATCTGAGATATGCAAATGAGAAATGCTAATTTTAGGGCAATCCAATCATCTGAGATATGCAAATGAGAAATGCTAATTTTAGGGCAATCCATTCATCTGAAATATGCAAATGAAACTGCTAATTTTAGGGCAATCCAATCATCTGAGATATGCAAATGAGAAATGCTAATTTTAGGGCAATCCATTCATCTGAAATATGCAAATGAAACTGCTAATTTTAGGGCAATCCAATCATCTGAGATATGCAAATGAGAACTGCTAATTTTAGGACAACCAATCATCTGCAAATAAAAAATGCTAATTTGAAGACTTTCTAATCACATGCAAAATGTAAATTAAAATGAGATCTAATTTGATGACAATGAAGTCACTTTTAATAGATATGCATAATTTGCAGTTGAGTCAAAGCATATATGCAAAACAGAGTTGATACAAGCTGCTCTCTGATTGGTCAGACTGTTAGCAATTTGGGTTGGGTAGCCAATCAGACACAATCTTATAGCTTCAGAGAGAAACATCCTACACATTATTATAAATCATGTTGATTTTTCTGGCAATAATAAATAAACTGCATGTACCTTCAGTGCCATTGATGCATGACGTATTATCTGTGTTTTCTCGTTGTATTGGTGAATTTCCGTTCCCGCTATGGGGAGACTGAATTTCCATAGACCTATAAAAAAAAACACCAAATTAAGTACACAAAAGTTTGACTGTCAACAAAAAGCATATTTAAACATTGCAAGAAATTATTACAGCAACAAAAAACGGAGGTACTGAAATACAAATTTGAGGAACATGGTACATAACTGAACTGATACAGTTACCTAAACGATTTTAAAATACTTATACAAATAGGTTGCGAAAGATAATAACACGCAATAGAATGAGAAAATGGGGTATGCTCAAAACAGTTGAGGCAATCCATGATGTTTTCAAGGACCTCAGATGAAAAGACGTCTGTAACAACCCCGAAGTGATAATTGCATAATTGATGAACTACTGAACAAAATTCCCCAAGACACGGTAGACACAGTCATTTCTTTTCACTGGATATGTAAATCAATTATGAGTTATCGGTAGTACTAAATGAAGCGAATAAACATGTTATTCATTTTCAATACATTTTTTCTTCTTCAATAAAATAACAGAAAAAAAAAGATGTGTAATTTCAGGTACTTGCATCCAGCTCCTGCCTCTCTTTTGATTAAAGCTGAAAAGTCTGTATGTAATGTCTAAACTTGATATGAAATAATGATTTTGTGAGTCTTACTAAAAAAACAAAACAAAGAAAACGATGTGCTAAGATGTGATTCAAACATGGGATTATACCCATATAAGGTATGCACATATGGTCACATGATTTGTTTAATCCAATGAGGATGTCTGATACTGTATGATGACTTGTTTATTTGTGTGTGAATAACAACCTTCTGTTAGGAAATAATTAGTTATAATGCAGCCAATTAACTGCAGCTGGTTCTAGGCATGCAAGGTCAAAATTCAGGAAAAGAAGGTGGAAAGTGGACATTGAGAGGATTTAAGATACAAAGACAAAAATTCTTAAGAGAAAATATAAAAAGATGAAAAACTCATGTTGTTTTCTAACTTTATGTATTTGTGTTCATTTTAGACATTATAGAATAAATTTGCCAAATTCTCTAAAGATCACAGAAGATTTATGTTTTTCAAGTTTTCTAACAATTTATTTTAGACAAAATCTATTTAAATTGTACAGAATAATGTGAATCAAAATTGAGAAGAATAACATAGACAGCTTTAATTTTTGTGAGAGATTTTCATAAGTCTGTGAAAATTGGGACATTTTGTAGCAGTGAACGATTGTTGCAAAATTTTACATTTATCATGAAATCACAAATAATAAGTAGCGATTTTAATACAATAATTTACAAATAAAGGATTGTCAAGTCAAAGTTCTTTTCACAATGTTCCCAAGTTGAGATTAATTATTTATTAACAGGATATGACAGGGAGGGGAAGGATCACTAGGGGATTCCAAAACCATCTGTCAGTTTAAAAAACGAAAACAACTCCAGTCAGCCACCTGTTTGGCGGAACAGAGAACAACGAACCATGTAAAAAAAATCTGGAATTCACAGTCGCTGTGAAGAAAAAATGATTTGGCTTGGTCTACTTCATTAAGTAGAATATTTGCTCTTGTTTGTTCTAGTATATGGAGCATGTCTAAGTCATCAATGCATGTTATACTTTGTCTTTTTCCTCCGGATTGACATTTTTTTGAAAAAGCTACATATTTGTCCTGTTTTTTTTTTCTGTTTTTTTTTTGTTGAGAGCAGCTGCATATACTGAATTTGCTTTTGAAACTGGACCACACAGACAGTCATATTTTGTGGACTGATGACAACATTCTTTTGTGTTCAAGCAGAAGGCACAAAGTAAAGACCAGTCAGCACTCAACAAAGAAAATTCTGACAAGATACTTTAAATACCTACCATATGAATGTTTGTCAGTGGGTTTTTGTGAAAGGCAACAAACACGTGTATTTCCCGTGGATAAACTTAGTTTTCATGTCACCAAGATCAGATCAAGCAAAATTTTGTTGTTTAAAGCAAGTTTTCAGAAACAAATCAAAAGCATGCATATAAACAAATGTTGAATTGATCGCCAACACTTGGGTTTGATGAAAAACTTTGAAATACAAATTTTGAGGGAACATTTCCCACAAATTTTATAAAGAATTGTAGGACATAATGTCAGAGATACTTCTTGTAATATCACATGGACATTTAAGAGTTATGACTTCTAAATTGCAAAGGGGCAAGACTACATGTAGTTTCAGTTTCAGGCTCTTATGAGTAATTGCAAAGTCGTATCACCACCAAACTTCCTCCTGCCCCTCAAAGTCATATCACTGCCAAACTTCCTCTTGCCCCTCAAAGTCATATCACCAAGCGTCCTCCTGCCCCTCAAGTCATATCACTACCAAGTGTTCTCCTGCCCCTCAAAGTCATATCACTGCCTAACAACCTCCTGCCCCTCAAAATCATATCACTACCAAGTGTCCTCCTGCCCCTCAAAATCATATCACCAAGCATCTTCCTGCCCCTTAAGTCATATCACTACCAAGTGTCCCCCATGTCCCTCAAATTCATATCACCAAGCGTCCTCCTGCCCCTCAAAGTCATATCACCAAGCGTCCTCCTGCCCCTCAAAGTCATATCACTTAGCGTCCTCCTGCCCCTTAAAGTCATATCACCAAGCGTTCTCCTTCCCCTTAAAGTCATATCACCAAGCGTTCTCCTTCTCCTTAAAGTCATATCACCAAGCGTCCACCTGCTCCTCAAAGTCCAGCCAGCTAGCTTGGATTACTAATATTGCAACCTTTATCCCTTCATCAACAAGCACTGACAAAATTAATATTGAAAACCAAAATGACATGCAAAATGATTCCCCAAAATCTAACTGAATTAGAAACTTAACATTTCTTCAAATATGCCTGATAAACAGTTGTCAAAAAGAAAAAAAAAACACATGAAAGGAATTCATTAATGTCAAGCTGAGATTGGAATGGATGGTTCCCAAGGCCTGATAATTTAAAAGAGATGCATCAATTTAAAAGGATCACCGAAGCAAAACAATTAGATGACATCTCTTAGCAAGGTGAACTATTTGTTTACAGAGTGTTGGAAGTAACACCTAATTTAACAAAACTTGTAACTAAAACAAAAACAAAAATTTTCAATTCTTGGAAGAAGAAGAACAAAGTTGTTAAGATGCTCAAAAGAGGCCACTTTTGAAATCACAGAGATGGAAAACCTTTATGTTCTTTAAGTGAGACATAACAGAAAAATCAAGCCTGAAAGCTCAATGGAAAAGCAATTTGGACACTTTTTCAAAATGAGAAAAACTGGACACCTGACTGACCACTGATTGAAAAGAAAAAGTTTGTTTTGTTAATGTTTTGGGATGTATTGTTGGTTTTATCTTGTCAATAGAGTCTTTTCAGCAGCTGCTGAGAAGTCAATTTTTTGTCTGTCCTAGGCACAAAGCCATGTCACCTGAGAAGCGCTATACCACACCTTAATACAATCGTCAATCTTGCCCAATCAGACAGCTTCGGTAACACTTGGCTACCTCTCTATACAGATCTTATCGCAGGCTATTAACCAATACACAATGATGCTCCCCTGCCCCCGGAGAACATGGCGGTCACTTTAGAAATGATCCTTTTTCATTATTTTCACCAAATTACACCTCCGATAAGTGTACAATGATGTTGTTTACACCTTCAAGTGGTAAAGCACTTTGCAAGATAACCTGACAAATTGTATTTAAGGTGTATCTCGATTGACTGTATTCTTCATGCCCGCTGCACCGATTACCAATCCGGTGATATTATCGTCTGCCGCATCTAATCGCACATGACTGAATTGTCACAACTAAATATTCATGCTTTATTCATACCCAATGAAAGTTCATGTACATTTCGGAAAGAGTTTTGCAGATAGTACTGTCCATGTGGATGGTGAACAAAATGGATCGTATCTGTATGTAGTGCAAACTGCTTTGCTTCAATTGAATAGAATTCTATTCCCAATTGCTTTCAAGAATTGTTCAAAAGAAATGAAAGAGAATATCATACAGTTTATGGACTGGGAGAACTCTCACTTTTGTATTCCAAAGATCCAAATATGGCATTCATTTTCATTTTAATTAACTTTATTAAATTCATATCTAAGCCATGCATGACCTCAACTTAAATAATTACTTATAGTTTTATTTGTAACAGATCTAAATTTTATGATTGCTCATTAGAGGGTTTAGATTAACGAGGCATGCAACAACTTACAAAAGACATGAACAGTGTGCTTGAAAATGATCCTGAAAATGCAGTTGTACGACAGTACATAGCTTCGTTGCATTGTATTCGATATGCGACATATACAACGCATTTAAAATACATTGTTTATTTACGTGAAATCCAAACACACACTGCACTATGACTGTAGTGATTTACATTTAGCTAGCTCCCAAAACTGCCACATATCTTAATTGTTGATGACAATGACGCTCTCCTTAAAAATAATATTAGTGAGCTTGGAAGTTAAGTTACTCTCAGACTGTACATGTATGGTAAAATACTGGACAAGCCATATTTTTGTAATATTTTGAAACAGAACAGTCATAAAGTCAACTAAACAGATCTTTGCTTATTATAAAATAAAATAAAACAAGAACACCACAATAATTCCTGGGAGTCACAAAATTTGTATCAGTGATAAGTTCGTAGGGGTTCAAAAGACGACTTTCCTAAAAAAAACTTCATGAGCACCGTTAAATCATCAAGTCATGACAATTTCTAGGAGTGAGAATAAAATGGTTAGAATACAGTATGTTTTATGTACTGTTCACAATAAATAGACATGTCACTTCTATCATTAATCATTGTAACAAATGCCAAAGCAGTCATTTAAGGTTCATTTATATTGTGTCAGGTGTTATTTTTATAAAATACAACATGTACATACTATTTAGGGGCATCAAGTGTTATTATGATGTGTGATAGGTCACAGAACATATAGACTCAAAATTTCACCACAAATTTGACTAAGTGACTGCTCAATTTTCCAGGATGTTGTGAAGCAAGGCCTGGTAAGATGAAAATAAATTGGGAGGAATATTTCAGTTATTATAGCACAACTAGCGGCGAACTAGAATTTGATGATATACTGAGACAACTAGCTGGGAACAAGGATGAACAAGATGGTGGATTTGATGACTTACTGAGACAACTAGCTGGGAACAAGGATGAACAAGATGTTGGATCTGATGACTTACTGAGACAACTAGCTGGGAACAAGGATGAACAAGATGTTGGATCTGATGACTTACTGAGACAACTAGGTGGGAACAAGACGGTGGATCTGATGACTTACTGAGACAACTAGCTGGGAACAAGATGGTGGATCTGATGACTTACTGAGACAACTAGGTGGGAACAAGATGGTGGATCTGATGACTTACTGTGTCAACTAGCTGGGAACAAGGATGAACAAGATGGTGGATTTGATGACTTACTGAGATAACTAGCTGGGAACAAGGATGAACAAGATGGTGGATCTGATGACTTACTGCGACAACTAGCTATGAACAAGGATGAATAATATGGGCTTTTCAAGCATAGTGGCCACTGCTTGAATTTGTGGGAAACAAAATGATCAATTAATACACCTTGCATGTGCAAAGTAGCCCTCGCCAAGATTGTATTACAGAGCACTTTCTCAATGTTGTTTCATTTTTATTTTTTACACATTTTTTACCTTGTAACTCCACTGCTATGATTATCTGAAACTGCCTCACTCTCGTGTCTTGCTCTTTTTATCTGTAAAAAAATAAACAAATACAAACATAAATTAAAAAAAAAAATGGAAATTTCACTTTGATCTGTGAAAAGTAGTACAGACAACAATTTGAACAAAATTCATGAAGTTTTAGGTTGTTAATTTAGTTTCATTTTGAAGAGAAACAAAGTACATTGTTTTCAAAAATGTGTGTATTACAAAAAATAATGTCATTTGCTTCTGGCCAAAAATTCAAGTTGAAAAAAAGTTAAGTATATAGCATACATGTACATGTATGTAGAAGTAAGTGAAGTCAGAATAAAAAAGAAATCAATTTACATGCATGTATAACAAGTCTTAAATCTAATCTTCACAAATGCATCTATCGACTTGGCAAAAAAACAAAAAAAAACAATTTAATAGAAACTAACAATGGAACAAACTGTGTTGTTATAAGATTCACAAAATAATGATTGAAAATTATTAAAATTCAGTGACACCGGCAAAAAAATAATGTTACGCTGTTGAAGGGTATCCAGCTGTGCATAGTTCCCACAGTAGTTTGGTACACATGACTAACAAAGAGAAATTGATTTCTTTCTTTTATTTGCTACAATGAGCAGCATGTTACCTATATATTTATGTGATGGACCCACGCTGTGGCCACATCACCCTAAAAATGGAAACAACACTCTCAAAGCTAAATAGTGAGAAGCCATTGGACGCAAAAAAAGAACCGGAAACGACAACAACGTAAGTGCAGGCAGATCAATACTTGTAACTGACCAATCAGGAGGACTTATTTTTTTGTTAGCTAATCGGAATTGGAGAAGATTTTGATGGTTGCATAATAGAATTATGCGAAGAAATGTGCAATAAATTTACTGTTTCTTTGTGTCCTGGGGAGGGGGAGGGGAGGGGAAGGGCAGTTTCATCCCACAAAACACATGATAAATCAAAAATAAACCAAGTCAATTTACATGCTAATAGTGATATTACGCTCAAAGGAAGTGTGTCAGAAACATAGATGTCGTCCCTATTAAATACAACTAAACAGACAACATGACATTTGTACCCAAGTACCTGCACATTTCAATTTTCTACAAAATGTATTGACGAAACTATTAGAAAAAAACTATTTTGTTGGAACAGAATAAATAAACATTTTATATGATATCGGTTCATCTGGGAGAAGCTGAGCATACACAACATATGTGTATGTTTGGTTAAAGGTAAATAGAGAAATACGGGTGTGCAATTTTCAAGTATTCCACTGAAAACGACAACACTGAAAACTTGCATAAAGGTATGGAATTCATATTGTCCAAATGTGACGTTTAATTTGAAATATAATTTATTACTTTGATACCACCATTTTAGATTGAATAACAACAATTACTCAATTGGCACAATTACACTAACTCGTAATAATATCAACTAAAACTTATTCCCGAAAGATTGATAGGGTAATATTTCAGCCATTTATCCATGACTGTAACTGCAAACTGTAAACTGTAAATCAACCAACATGCTTAGATGTCATGCTTTATTGGCATAAATTAGCATATGATCGCAATAATTGTTCTGTAATTGTTTGGCACACAGAGTTGGTCATGTGATACTTATTCACTCAATTTTAGTTTGTGAGTACGGGTAATACTTATAACCCATGCCGTCACTCGTATAATAACCTCATTGAACATGCACATCCTACATCTTCATCAATCATACTTGTTTTGACCTGCATATACCAAGACAACCTGTGAATACCATGGCAACCTGAGTACTAGTATACCATGGTAACCTGCATATATCAAAACAACCTGTGTATACCATGGTAACCTGCGTATACCAAGACAACCTGTGAATACTATGGTAACCTGAGTATAACATGGTAACCTGCATATACCAAGACAACCCGAGTATAACATGGCAACCTGTGTATGTCATGTACCATGGTAACCTGCATATACCAAAACAACCTGTGAATACTATGGTAACCTGCGTATACCAAGACAACCTGCGAATACTATGGTAACCTGCGTATACCATGGTAACCTGTGTATACCAAGACAACCTAACCTGTGAATACTATGACAACCTGAGTATACCATGGTAACATGCATAAACCAAGACAACCTGTGAATACTATGGTAACCTGCGTATACCATGGTAACCTGCGAAAACCATGGTAACCTGCATATACCAAGACAACCTGAGTATACCATGGTAACCTGCATATACTTAGACAACCTGTGAATACTATGGCAACCTGAGTATACCATGGTATCCTGTGAATACCATGGTATCCTGTGAATACCATGGTAACCTGTGTATACTGTGAAAACTACGTTAAACAAACAAACATGGATTACTAGAGAAATTGTTTATTGTTTTCTTTGAATATTTTCAGTTACTGGCATAACATCTAATGAGGTAGTGTGAAATGTGTTATTATATTGTGATGAAAATCAAATTACCATTAAAATATTGCCAATCATCTGAAATAAATCTTTTAAATAATCTGTATTACAAAATTATCCTGCTTTGAAATCTAAATTCTACAAAATGCATGCATTTTAAGTTTTTAGCAAGAGAGGAGCAGAAAGAACAGTACAACATTTAACACTAATCTAGGTTAGAGTGACAGCAATTTTTAATATGCTTTTATGTACTTGAAAAACTAGCACAACAACAATATATCGCAAGATTTCAATACAAAACCTACTGCTAAACTAGGGCGATGAAACGACTGGCATAACCCTCCTTCATCATGAAAAAAAATGTAATTATTGATGGCCATGCGTTGATTCACACGGAACACAAAAGAAATTACACAACTATCAATCATCAAACGCAATTATTGTATTTCATAAGCATCGATAAAACATCTTTTGTTGGGATCTCTCTCACATCAGAATTTATTTGCAGTTCTCGATCACCTTGGTTAGCACATTTAAACAAGGAGTGTACTCTAGAACACTTTTCCTGTAATAATGGTAGTTATACTGTCAGGATGTAAGCTTCCCGTACTGTTTGTCTACCTGCGGGGCACGAAAATCCACAGTATGAGACATTTGTGATGTTGATGTTACTAGCTGCCTATCCATAGCCTTAAACAAACCATCACAATATTGGTCAAACAACCTAATGTAGACCAACTTAGCAGACAATCCTTTGTAGTGTTATGTTTTTTTATTTGATTTTTTTATATCAGGATAATTTAAAATTGGTATTTATATGCACACATTTTGGGCTACCCCCCGGTAGTTACTGTTATTTGCTGCCTGAAAAATATATACAGCTGTATTCAAAACATCAATTTGTGGGGGGATGCAGTTTTTACAGTCAACAAAATGACCAAATTGGTGAGCCTGTGATGAGAAAAACCAGGCAAATTGTACCGTAAGCATTCTAATAAAGTGCGTGTCCAAAAATATTGTACACTGGATTATTAAAATAAGACCATACACTCATGTCAGCTATTTACGTAATTTAGACAGATAAGCGCATGTGTAAGTAATAAAGCAATTACGATACTTTTAATAGTGTGTGCTATTTCACTATTAATTGAAATATGAGTTTTGGATACTTTACTTTTTGGGCTGAAAAAGTTAGAAATTGTTATTGATATTTTAATCCTAATAATGCATGTAGTTAAATACGTTTTTTACAAAATAAACCTTCATAATTTTACCAATACTTGTCGTCCAAAATCTTGATTCGAATCTACCATATTTGCTCCATTAGAAGTGCATGTAAACCAGCAGTTGCATTTCTTGTACTTTAAAAACTGTAAACCGCTTCAATTTCAGGAAGCAAATTTGCGAGTCAGTGAAAATTTGGAAATTTAGTAGTTGAGTCATACAACATGGAGTCTCATTGACTTCAATGTCTTCACGAGTGCCACACCATTCTGAAATCACGAACATTTCTGGTAGTGAAAATTGAATGGCAAACAGTCTGCACATGTGTTACTAATATTAAAACAAGTAAGGTACAGACAAAAGAAAATATAGAGGTGGGCAAAATATTGGTGGTACAATATTCAATAGTTTAAAGCTGGTGAATAATAAAAAGTAAAAATCTTACAATGTGCCTAAGCATGAAATACTCGCCTTTTAACAAACAGAAATTTTAAACAGCAAAAAAAAACATAATATCTGAAAAAATATACAGAAAAGAACAACAAACCTTAAGTTTGTGCATTTGTTGATATTTGCAGAAGCCATAAGGATACAATAAAAGCTTGGTAACATGGAATCCAAATTGATACTACCGACAAAACCCGCACTCTGTTTAACAGGACTGAGCGAAGCAAGATTTCAATGTGGATCCTATATATCATATCACACATCCAAACATGTTGTGTTGCAGCAAAATAAAAATGTGTTTATATACACAAGCAAACCAGCCTGTATTCTAACCCTCCTTCTAAATACTACATCCCATAGTTAGAAAAAGAACCAATATTTGGTTTGGGAATAGACTGCCCAGGGGGCATCGACTTATCCTAGCCATTGTACAAGCGCATACAATAGACTGAGGTCAGCTCTCAGTATACGTACTGATGGCTGCTTCTCTTATAGACATCTGTTCATACCATCCCCCCATTGCCAAATGTCTTGCTTATACATGAATATTTCCAAATAGCTTTTGTGCATTAAATATTTTCATTAAATGCAATTTCACCATTAATTTATGAAATTTTTTTAATTCCTAAAGTTCATTATCAGTCTCCAATATTGCTGTACATGGATTATTTCATTGTGAAGCTTTATATGATTTTTTATAACACTCATTCCAAAAATCATAAAGTCTCAAATATAAATGCTACACAGTGCTTGTCCCAAAATGGAATTTAACTGTTTTTGTGTCATCCAATATATCAAGACAGTTTCAGTCTCCCCCTAGTTTTACACAGCTTCTGGCACCCCCATTGAAATGTTACCACCTATAAAGCTTGGTCGCCTACAGCCCATTTTCTTTGGCTGATTTTTTAATATTATTCACTTCCATTCCTCATCAATAATGAATACAG